GGTAGCGCTGGTTTCCCTGCTCCTTCAGCAGCTGCGCCTCCAGCAGCCGCGCCTCCATTGGGGACCGGGACGGCGCCCGGCCACGCAGGGAAGAAGGAGCGGGCGGGCACAGCCGCTCGGTCTAGGCAGCAGGGTTCCCTTGTCCCAGATCTTCAAGGTCCTTTCTTTCCCCTTTCTGGCACAGGGGATGGAACCAGGGCCTTCGCACGGAGCTACAATCCAGCCCTTGTATTTTTTATTTCGAGGCAGGGTCTCGCCAAGTTGCTCAGGCCGGAAAGGGCTTGCGACCTTCCCGCCTCAGCCTCCAGCGTGCTAGGATCCCAGGAGTGCGCCAATACCCTAGTCTACCGAGCCTTCGCCGGCGGCTGAGCGGCGAGGAGACAGACGGAGGCGGACTAGGCTCCGAGCTCGCAAGCGCCCGCCCCTTCCTGCCTCTGCGGAGCCCGAGCCCGGAAGTCCTCTCAGGACAGACGCTCCCGCGCGAAGTCTGGCCTCTGGCGGTGATAACTAGAGGGCCCCGCGCACTGCGCCACAGCGCCCAATCAGAGGCGGCAAGAAGAGGCAATCCCGCAGGAACGACCCGACCCGCCTCCCAAAGGACTACCTCGCCAATTGGAAAAAAAAAAAACTGGGCGATCAAAATTAACCAATCAGAGATGCAGATGCCAATTCAAGATGGCCAATGACGGAACAAAGGCGGGGCCCAGGCATCTGTTGCTGGGTAGAAGTTGAGCCGTTGAGAAAAGAGGAACAGATATTACTGTATTCTTGAATTCTGGAGAGCCCTTTTGCCAACAAGCCACATGAACAGTTATTAATGAGCAACAGTTTCCCTCCTGCTTCTTTTACTTTCACAAGACTGCTGCCTGCACAGAATACTGTAGTGACAAGATGCCGCCGCGACCGGAAGTGAGCAGGACTACAGGAGACCAGGGCTGTGAGGAGCGCACGAAACGCCTGCGCATAGCCCCAGGCTAAAGTACGGAAAGCCAGGCGCGGACACGCTTCCGGGCTACGAGGCAGTTGAGTCGTAGCCAGCCTTACTCGGTTCGGTACGCGGTGCGGCTGCGCAGTAAAACTCCGAGTGCTGATTGGCCCGCGGGCCGAGGGTTAGGGTTAGCTCTGTCGTCCAAGCGCGCGCTCGCTGTCGGGACCGAGGTGCTGGGGAAAAGAAGTCGCCCCCCCGCTGGGTCGTCCTGAGCCCCGCGGGTCGCGGGGGGTGCGCATGAAGAAGGCGACGCTGCCGCCTAGCCGCGGAGACTTGGTCGCTTG